TCCACCTCCTGGGAGGCTTTGGGGAGCGTGCTCTGAGCTGGTGGGTCAGCAGAGACCCCTAGTGGCCAGGGGGAGGATGGCAGACGGCTGCGGCCCGGCTCAGCACTCCCTCCCCCCACGTCCTTCCCACACAATAAATCCTAGGGAATGGCATTGGGTTTTCTACAGTCCCCAGCTGGGAGGACCTTCGCAAGGCCATCCAGTTCATTCCCCTGTTTCACAGGCATCCTTGCAAGATAAAAAAATTCCACCTGTTTCAAAATAATTTAAAGGGGAACTTTTCTGTTATTTCTTCCCTTCACTCCTTCATGTCTTCGTCCTGTCACGGCTTCTTGCAGGAATTTCTTCCTTGAGTGGAAATTAAGTCTTCCTGGGCAACTTGAGCCCTCCCCCTATTAACAGTGCAGAAGGGTGGCTCGCAGGGCAGGCGGCGCTTCCGACGGGCACAATACCACGGGGGGCCGCCGTCAGTTCACGTGCGCCCTCCCTCCCTCCGCTCCTAGAAGCCATCCCGCCGCGTCTCGCCGGCTCTCAGTGAGGCCTTCCTTTCGAACGAGCCATCTTTGCCCGTGCTCCAAAGAGAGGCTCGGAGCGAAGCCGCCCCGGCGGCCACCGGGTCTGGCGCGAGCGCGTGCGGGCCGCGCGGCCAGGGTGCCGCGGCTGGCCGGCGGGGGGCGCTCGGGAGGCGCCAGCTCGCGGCCGTCCCGGCCCGCCACCCACCTTGCCCTGGCCTTTGTGAGGCTCGCTCTTTGTCTCCGCGTCTCGAGCGAGCGCCGCGCGAGGGGGCGGCTCCCGAGGACGCCTGCCGAGCCCAGCTTGCGGGTTCCGTCCCATCCCCAGGGTCCAAGCGGGGCGGCGCGGCCGTGCTCCGGGTGGAACGAGGCGGAGGGCCTGGGATGGACCGCCAGCTCTCAGCCCCCGCTCCTGGGCAGCTCAGGCAGGCATGAGAGGCTCCGGGTGCTGGAAAACGTCACCAGAACCGTTCCGAATGTGCTTCTCGCCTCTGGGCGCTGAGGAGCCTGGACTGGGTCTAGACAGAGCAGCGTCCGCTGGGTTTGGAGCCGGGTAATCCGCACGGAGAAGCTAATGATGCTGTGTGCTTACACGGCATGAGCTCCCCAGGGGGCTTGCGCTGCCGCCTCAGAAGAGGCCTGTAGACTGTCCCCAGGCAGTCAGAGCTCCTGGGCCTCCCTTCCACGGAGCTGGAGACTGAGGCCCGACTGGAAATCGCAGGCGCGTGCAGGCCCCGAGCTAGCCTGAGCCACAGACCACACCCGGGACCCTGGGGCTTGGCCCAGGAGCATCTTAGGCAGGGGGCAGGAATGGAGGGGGCGTGTGGCTAGTTTGCACCACTCTGGCTGCACGTGCAACCCCAGCTGAATCTCTTCTGTTGCTAAGTAAAGAGCCCAAGTGGCTCTGAGGACTTCTAGGACTGGTTTTTAAATCCCATCTGGGCCACTCCCTAGTTGAGTGACCTTAGCCAAAGGAAGTGGGAAATAAATTATGGGACGGCTAAAAGTGCCAGGCACTGTGCTTGCCTTGGAGCCTGTCTGACCCCAGAGCACATACTTTCTCTGTGAGCGCCCGTCCTATGCTATACTCAGAGTCAGGTTTGAGGCACAGCTAATTGACTCTGGGATGTCACCTCCATTCTCTGGAACTCAGTTCCTCTTCAAGCATATGGAATAATCAACCTCTCTCTTGCTGACCCCAAAAATGGATGGTGAAATTAAAATGAAATAGCATGGTGAAAGAATGCTTTCTAATACTTAGTGTACATGGTGAATAGGCAGTTTTCAGACCCATCTGATCTTTTGGAACCGTCTGAGGGAGGTTTATAAAAATATAGATTGCTGAGAGTCTGATTCAACAGCCCTGAGAATCTGTGTCTTTAAAACTCCCAGTGCTCAGGCAGGTTTGTGGGACTGCTCCTGTTTGCAGATGTAAGGGATGGATATCATTTCCCCAGCCCTCAGGGATGCCAAAGTTGTGCTTACTCTTTCTTGCCCCAGCTAAGAAGTTGCCAGCCTGGCCCTGCCCGTGGGCTCTGAATAAATATCTGAAGATTTTTATTCCATTCCTTTGCTGGTAAAGTTTGGCTGCCTCTCAGCACCTTCCAGCCAAAGACCCAGAGAATGGGGAGAGGGAGAGGGAAGAGAAGGATCTGACCCAATGCATCAGTCGCCTTTAGTTACCCAAACCCAGTAAGTTGGCATGGAGGATATCCAAGCCACAGGTAGAGAACCCGCCAAAGTTTGAGTGAGCAGATGAGGCATCCAGGTGGTAGCTCGCCCTCCTGCCTTTGGCCAGTCAACACTGTGTGTTGGTTGAATACCAAGGAATATATTTTGTATTTATTTTTACTGACTTTGCTTGTATTTTCCTAACTTTGCTGGATACTTTTTTGGGGTGAAGAAAATCCAAGACTACTTTTTTTTTTATACTTGAAATTCTCAAATATTCCTACCAAAAGAGTAGCACCACAGCACAGATGATTCCAAATAAGAAATTATTGAAAAGTCACTTCCAACGGTTTTGGGGGGGTGGCATGGAGGTACCCCCTTCTCTATGAAATGCACCTGCCCAATTTGCTTCAGCTTCAGACAGCATCAGTACTGGCTTACATCCTGTGAGAATGGCTCACAGTGGTGTTGGAACAAGGGCAGCTCAACCAGGGAGCAGCCTCATGGCTGAAAACTTCCGCTTTGAGGGCTCTGGGGGGTCAGCCCTGGGCCAGACGCATTTTATAAATAAGGAGATGGGGCCCACGGAAGGGTCATGACTGACTCCCAAACTGATCATCTTTCCTCTGGCAACCATGCTGCTTCTGGACTTCTGGATTTTAGTTGCTTTTATCTGTTCACCTTGACTGTTTATTCAATGCCCGTGATTCAAGGTGCACCTTGCAGCTGGCACGATGTGTGCGCTGGGCACTTGTGGGTGAAAGAGAACTGTGTTCTAGCCCTATTGCTGCTAGCTGGCTGTGTGGTGTGGGGCAAGTCACAGGGGTCCCCAGACTTCAGTGCCTTATTTATACCTCGGGGAGTTGGGATATGTGGCTTTTAGGGGCTCTTCCAGTTTCTAGGCTTTGCGTGTCACAGTCCGTTGTAGACTTCAAGTGCATGCACAGGAAGGCGGAGAGTTCTGCTCAAAGGATAAAACTCCCGGGCGGGGAGGCTCTCACACAGCCTCAGAAAGGGGAAGCCAAGGCAAGAGCTGCCCTCTCCCTTCCCCAAGGTCACAGCGGCAGAGGCGAGCCAGGAATAGAAGCGAGGCCTCCTCCTCCCACCCACCCAGCAGCCAGACCGAGGCCCCGTGCGTGCAGCAGGTGGGTGGAGGAGGGAGAGCCTGGCTCCGCTCCCCTAGTGCTGCTTATTTATAGGACACTCCTCCAGCTCCGGGCCAGAGGCAGTCCAGCAGGGGGAAAGGCCGCTCTGGAGGAGACGCCAACAGGGATTTAATCAGCTGAATTGAGTGAGATGTATAAATCAGAGCCGACTTCCACTTCCTGAGAGGCTCTGCCAATTTCCATGGTGCCAGAGTCTGGGAGGAGACTCACCATGGCTGTCCCCTAGGGCTGTGACACTTTTCCTTTGTCTGTTGCTACAGGTAGGCAGTCAGTGGCTCAAGCTTTCCTCCAGACACAGGTTTCTCCTTGCTCCAAACCTTAAGCTCTCCCTGGAGGCTCAAGACCCGAGCTTCTTCAAGTCCTAAAACAAGAGCTAGGAAGCTGGGGGCCTTCTTCCCCCTCCCCCATTTCATCTGTTTTCTCAACTATTTCCCTGTCTCTGGATCTTTGTAGCTCATGCCTTATGATTCCAGCATTTGAGCGAGGGAATGTCACCTAAACAGCCATCAGACTTGTTAACTGTTTCAAACCCCATTTTCGGACAAGGAGCCGTGGTTGGGAGGGGCTCGGGGACCCAGTCCGATCTCCTGAGGCCCCTTCCAAACCTGGAGACAATGACCTCTCACACATCCCGTTCCTCCCTCACAAACTCCCTCCTAACACCCAGCCGCCAAGTGCAGGCTCCCCAGAAAGGAGGAGGGCCTGTTACTCCTCCTTGGAGGTCCTTCATCGAATCCAGGGACTTCCTGACCCAACTGTTAAATGGGAATGGTGAGGGGAGCAGGGTGCCAGAAAAAGGTGTCTTCTCAGCTGCCTTGGCTACCCCAAAGCCAACAGCAAAGATCGTCTGCTGACTGGCAACGTGGAGCAAAGGGCAGTCTTCTCCAGCGGAGTTCTGTGTTGGGAGCCTGAGGCAGAGAAAAGAATCGATGCCATGTGCTGAAGGTGGCAGAGGCTCATATAAGATGCCCTTAGAAGACAGGTTATGAAGTTATGCGAGGACAGCTTTATGGTTTTTTTAACGAGTGTTTTAGGATCCTGAGCTAGGTGCTAAGGGTGCAGAGGTAAACTCTGGTGGCTGTTTGTGCATGAGCCTGGTGGAGCAAGCGCCGTGATGGAGGTGTATAGAGATGGGGGGGGCTGGGGAGGGGAGTTTTGGTGTCTGCAGGTTGCATAGGTGCTGGCCAGGTGTGGCCAGGTTCTTGGGCCTGGCTGCACGTTAGAATCACCTGGGGAGCTTTTAAACTCCCAGCGCCCAGGACACACCCCTGACTAACCAAGTTAGAATCTCTGGGGCTGGAACCCAGGCATCGGCATCAGCATCGGTATTGGAGATTGCAAAGGGTAGCCAGGGTAGAGACCGCTGGCATATAGGATAAGTTGTGTCTCAAGTTTGCAGGGGAATGGAATGGTTATATGGATGACTGTTTTTTGGTTTTGTTTTTTTGGCTTTTTTTTTTTTTTAATATTGAGCCTTCTTATTCACTCTTTCTAGGAAGCCATGAGACCTGCCTTCAGATTTGGGTCAGGGGAGGAGCAGGAAGGATGAGGGAGGGAAGGCAGGAAGAGGAAAGGGGAGAGGAGGACTTTGGGGTTGTAGCATCTAAGTTCTCGGTGACATTGTCACCAACCACGCCTCCCTCACTGCCAGGACCTCCTGCAGAATTCCCCCAATTCCATGTCTGGAGTCTCCAATAACCCCCAGGGGATTGTGGTCCCAGCCTCAGCGCTCCAGCAGGGCAACATCGCCATGACAACCGTCAACTCACAAGTCGTGTCAGGTCGGTGCAGGGAACGGGGTGCTGGGGATTGTGGGGAACACCCTGGGAGGAGAAAGGGTGGCCCTGAAGGGAATCCAGGGGTGGGGGTTGTCCTCTGCCCAGAGAGCGGCTCCCAGCTCAGTTTCTTGACTAAAGGGTTCTTGCAGGTTTATAGATGGGAGCACCAAGACCCAATTGTGATGATTTGGAACAAGTTTGGGTCAAATTCTCATAAGCCCCCCAAAGACCAAGTAAGGCTACTGTCCCTTCCCCCACACAGTTCCCACCAGAGGCTCTGCTCTCAGCTCTGGACACACCCCCACCCACGCCTCCCCTACAAGTGGGAGAACCACGCCTTGTTACCCAAGGGCTCTGGCATAGAGGGTCTACCTGTGAGTGCCGAGGGAACCCTACCTGCCCTCACTCCTACCCACCCCCACGGCAGGGGACCCAAAAACTGGTTGTCTCCTCAGGTGGAGCCTTATACCAACCGGTTACCATGGTAACCTCCCAGGGTCAGGTGGTCACCCAAGCAATCCCCCAGGGAGCCATCCAGATCCAGAACACACAGGTGAGTGTGTGTAGGTGTGCACACATGCATGGTGTGGGGCAGGGCGATCTTAATTGCTTCTTATCTGCCAGGCACTTTTTACACAGGCCACTCATTTCATCCTCATTATTTCTCTAAGGGGTATCATCTCCCCTACTACTACAGATAAGAAGCTGGGTCTTGGAAAGGTTTTATCAGCTCCTGGGATTGTGCTGCCTCCTGGGGTCACATCAAAGGATCCCACACTTCCTTCCTATGCCTGGTCTCCAGCCCTAGCGGCTGTGTACCTCAGTGGCACCAAGAGCACACAAAAGGGAGAATAGAAAGGTCTGAAGTCAGAGCCTGAAATCTGACCTCAACTCTGTGATCCCGGATAAGTCACCTCACCCCCTGAGCCTCAGAGTCCCCATTGATAAGAGGGGGCTTAGTACCGACTGCACACAGCCCTGCCCCCCACAGGGCTGCTGTGAGGGTGAGCCATGGCGATGGACATGAAAGTGCTTTGCAAACTGTAAAGTGCCACAGAAATGCCAACAAGGCCTGGATGGCTATGGCACGTTCATATCTACTCTGCATGGCCCTGTTTCCTCTCCCTCCCCCACCTCTCCTCCCCTGTCCTTCTTACCCTCTCCCCTAGCCAAGCCTCATCCCTTTTTCTGAGGGGCTGGTGTGGGGTGAGAGGGAAGGGCGTGACCCGTCCTGGGCCCTGAGAAGGGGCTGGGTAAGGGGTTGGCAGCGCAAGCAGCCTGCCGTCCGTCACCATGGCAACAGGTCCCTAGCCCAGCCTCACAGCCTGCTGATGCTGATTTTTTCTCCACGTGCCCTGAAGGTTAACCTTGACCTCACCTCCCTCCTGGACAATGAGGATAAGAAGTCCAAGAACAAACGAGGAGTCTTGCCCAAGCATGCCACCAATATAATGCGTTCTTGGCTCTTCCAGCATCTCATGGTGAGTGTGTGTGCCTTGGGGCTGTGGAGTCTTGGCGCGGGGCACGAATGGCCCGGCGAGTGGGCGCCAGGCTCTGCCGCTGTCTCCGAACCCGCAGGGGGCGGCCGCAGGGAGCGCTCTCTGGTGGGGACGCCCTCTAGAGGCCAGGCCGGGGGAGGCTTTCTCTAGTACCTGCTGCTGCTACTGCCTCACACGGTGACAACAAAGGAGGCAATGGGGGCAAACGCCCTAAAGCGAGTTAAGCACTGGGCAAGTGCTCCACACTGTTTCGTGAACAGGGTTAGGTTCCGTGCGGGTGGCTACTTGTCCAGAGCCCCTCCTGCCCGCAGCCGTGCCCACACCGCCCCTCCCGTGCAAGAACGCGCTAAGGCTGCCGAGGCCGCAGCCTGAAGTCCTCGCCGCTGGGAAGCTGAGCAATGCAGGGGAGGGGGGTGGAGAGCACTGACTCTGGAGGGGCGGCCGAGGCTGGAATCCCGGCTCCTCCTGTCACCAGCTCAGCTACAGGACGCAGGATAGTTGCTTTCAGAAGCCTCAGTCGCGTTTTGTGAAATGGCACACTGCCTCAGGTTTAAACGGAGTGTTGCTGAAGTGCCTGGTGTGCGCACGCATGATAGTCGCCGTGTGTGTGTGTGTGTGTGTGTGTGTGTGTATGCGCGCGTGTGCAGTGTTAGTTGCAAAAGACAAGCCTTTGGTTGAATGTCAGGAAGGACTTCACATTCGTAATCGCTTAGCACCAGTTCCAAGGGCTGTAGGGATAAAGGAAGAAAGGCAACGACAGTGCCCGTGCTGAGTGTGTGTGTGTGTGTGTGTGTGTGTGTGCACACGCGCGTGCGTGCGTTTTCCCTGGGTGGGGGTAGTTTCTGTGACCACAAGAGGACTGCCAGCAGTCTGCAAGCTCCCGGCCTGGCATACTAGTGTGTATATACAGATGCAACACAAGTGCCACAGGACTGTGGGCATTGGTCAGACAACTGTGGAAAGAACCAGGAATAAGGGGAAATCCTTCTTCAGAAAGAAGGAAAGAAATCAAATGGGTCACAGAAATTAATCAGTCACTCAATAGCCCATAATTTGAAGTGCAAAAGCCCCCGGAAGCCACAGGGACCGGGCCTGGGCAGTGGTTCTCAGACTTCAGTGGTGACAGGACTGACTGTGGTCTTAGGGAGTCTGACTCGGAAGTGCTTGTCCCGTGCAACCAGGGCACAGGCAACACATGTGGGGCCAGGGCCAGGCCCCTGCCTCTCCCCAAGTGTCTGCTCAGCTCTAGGGACTTGGGGTTGCCCCAGGGCTTTGCTGAATGAAAGCACTGCCTAGTTTGGAAACCTAGAGTTTTCAAAACAGAAAGCTAACCTGGAGAGGAGGGGCTGGAAGGCTGAGTGAGGGCTGAGGTGAGGAGAGGAGGCCGGAAAGACCCTCCAGCCTGGGTGGTGAAGCCAGGGGACCAGGGCGTGTCCAGCCTCAGGCCTCTAAGGAGCAGCTCCGATGTAATAGCTGGAGCTCATCGTGGAGATGCCCAGGTGTCTGCCTGTTCTGGTTTCCCAAAGTGTCAGACAGCCAGTGGGCTCAGATGTACTTGGTGGCCCCATGAGCCCAGTGTCCATGCTACAGGTCCCAGCCCCCCATGGGAGGAGGGGCTCCCTAGGGCAGGATCCATCTTTTGCGCACTGGCCTGTCCCAACCAAGGTCGGAGCGGCACAGCCCCCTCCTGCAGCCCCACGGAGCTAAATCTGGCTGCATTCCTTGTGGTGGGCCGGTGTCCAACTGTAGGGTCGTGGGTGTGGTGGAAAGCTCAGGGCTTTTGAGGCAGCCAGCCCTGGGTTCAAATCTAGGCTTACCTGTCACGCTATAACCTGGCCGCACTCACTTCTTGTGAAGATTGTGAGGACGTGATGAAAGGATTGCAAAGGCCGTGCACACTGAGGTGCTTCCCCGCTTCTACCCCTATGCAGTTTTGAAGGCTGATGTGAACACACCTACAGCCTCACTTCTGGGGTGCAGAAAAGGCAAGTGTAGGAGAGAGAGGAAGCTATAAGACAAATTCTTTGTCCAGGAGCCGGGGCATCCAGGCCAGCACCCTCTCACTGACGCCCACCCGCCCAGCCTGTGGGCTCCCCCTCAGCCGTCTTCCACCCGCCACCTGCTACTCACCCCTGAGAGTCTTTAGCCTGACGCAGGAAGGTCACCCAGCTCCTGTCCCTCATTACTGTGCCTGGGCTGTCACCTCGGACTTCAGCTCACATCCTCCCTCTCCCCCTCTTCCTTGCCAGCCTCCCTCCAGGCTCAGGGGCTTGTCTTTCCACTCCATGGTCACCTCCCCCCCACCCCACCCCACCCCCGGACCTGGGAAGGCAGAAGGAGGGAGAGGTGAAGAGGGAGGAGATAGTAGATGAGCACAACGGAGGAAGGAAGGGAGGACCAAGGGTGGCTCTGCAAAAAGGACCTGGGACAATGTAGAGGACTTGCCGAGAAGCATGAGGAAGAGCTTTCTGCCTACATGCAGCCCCCCCCCCCTGCACCCTTCCCCCGCCGGCCGTCCTCTTCAGCTCAGGAGTGTGCTCAGATGCAGGTGCCATGGGTGCCTCACTCATCGTAGCGGACACGGGGCCTCTAAAGTCAGAACTCGGAACTTCTGGACTGAGGGGTGGAAGAGATGGGGAGAAGTCCAGGATCCTCCAGGGAAACAAGCATACCGCGCGCGCCACCCTCCGCAGGCCAGGCCTGGGCCACACAGCCTGGGCTGCACCAGAGCAGCCTGGGTATCCATCCACGTAGGGACACACGCCTCAAAGCCCCAGCCCAGGAATAAGGCTATAAAGGCTGTTGGTCACTGGGCACAGTGGGAAGAAAACAGGCTCTGAAGCCAAACAGATCGGGGCAGGAATTGAGGACCTGCCACTAGCTGCATGATTACTCTGATTCTATTTCTCTGAAAAAAGAAGATAATACTCATTTCCCATGATTGTGAAAATAAATGAGGTAGCATATAAAAAGAGCCAGGCCTGGCATGCAGCACTTAAGAAATAAGTTCCCTTTGAACTGTCTAGAACAGTGGACCAAGAACAAACTTTTGAGGCTGAGGCCCAAACTGTGAACATTAGAGGTAGATGGCTGATCTGTTGTTTTGATCTATAACATCTACGGATTATACTGTTACTTGGCCTTCAGATACACTGACTAATAGGTTGCTTACCTATTCTGTGTGTTTACATGAGTGTCTGTCTTATGTCTCTGAATCTATTACACATTTCTCAAGAATAGGGTTCATGCATTGTATTCTTCTGTGAGCTCAACAGCATTGATTCCCAAGGTATATACCTTTGCAAGAATCACTAGGTGCTATTCCCAAAAAGGGGTTTCATGGTGAAATAAGTTTGGGCAAATCTGGGTTATACAAGATTTAGCCTGTTTCTTTATTCTTAGCGTATGAGGGGGCAGGGAGAATTTGCAAGGGGGTAAGGGTAAAGTTTGACGCTTCTCCCAAACTTACTGGACCACTTTAAATACCACTTGTGGTTTCCATCATCACTCTGAGGGACAACTCTGAGACTGTGGTTCTTTAGAAAGACAACTCTGTGGGAGCACCGTGCTGGGCAGAGAGTAGGTGCTCAGTTTTAGGAAAAAGAGAATAGAAACAGTATGAAGTTAGGACAGACCTCAGTAGATGTTCTCACATCTGGTACAGTGGGGACAACTAGTTTGTTGGTTGGTTAATTGGAAAAGTTGGTTTAAAAAAGGAACAGTCATTCAAAAGATACATCTTATGTTAATTTAGAAGATATACATACTGTATATATTCATTTGCTAATCTTTTGATATAGGGCCAAGGTCTTTTTCCAATTAATGTTTGTCATTTTACTTGTATAAACATCTGCTATCATGTAACATCTATAAACTCCATCTTTATTTAGAGTGGAATAAGAACTTTGACATTTGGGAACTAATCTGTCTACAGGATCTTTAGGTTTATGTATTCCAATCCTTCACATTTGTCTCATCTAATCTCTAACTATGCAGCATTTTTAAGCTTTTAAATTTGGGTCTTGGGTCTTTTGAAAGCTTTCTACTTAGTTTTCTTAGCAACAATAACTCTTCTTTTTGCACTCATATTTCATTGGTTTATAGAATAGTTCATTAAATTCCATAATTACAATAGAACGTAGATAAACCATACATAATTACAATAGTACGTTGGCATAAACCAGTCTGGATACACTGCTGACTTCCAGAGGAGCAGATAGCTGGGCTGAGGGACATTCCGCAAGGTGGCCTACTTATCTCGAGCACTCAGAGTCCCAGACAGCAGTTCTCATGGCTTGCAGAGGAAATGGAGAGAGCCTTGCATGGTGCAAACGTGGCTACATAGAGATCGGTTATGAAAACTTCTATAGTAAATACTAGATTTTCCTGTTGTCTTCTTTCCCTCAGGCAGAAGTTAGTATTCTTTGCTTCCTTTTGTCCTGTGTCTGAGGCCTCTTGTCATTTCCACCGTTCTGTGGCACTAGCAGCTACGGAAATGTATTCAGATGATAGAAAGCTCCTGAGACGGAGGTGAAATCCCAGAGCCTTTTTGCTGTTAGGCTGCAGTGAGATTGGGATGGTTTCATCCATTAGCTGCTTGCTTCTGAGTCCCTAAAGAATCCAGTGACATTTTCTTGCTATTGGGTTTTGGCTGAAAGAGGCTAAATCCCTGCTGGAAGCAATCATTCTATCGCAAACCCAGGTCGGGCGAGAGGCCCTGCAGAGGGTCCTCCCCATGGAGGGTGGCGAGGCGCTATTCTTCCTCCCAGCTTCTGCCCCCACCCCCTCTGCTCCAGATCCCAGTGTCATCCTGACCTGCCGGGTGATCCTGCTCATTTTCATCCAAAAACATGACAGTTCCCTGTGCTGCTCCACCCATGTACATGAGCAGCTTTACAGAATATTCTCTATGTGCAAGGAGATCCTGGAGAGGAACCTGGGCCCCAGCAGGCCCCGCCATCCACCTAAGGAGCCACTCCTGT